CTCTCCCATCCCCTCTGCTTCCCTCCTCCCCGCAACAAAAAGAAAAGGTTAAATAACATTTAATACATCTTACAGTAATTAAAAAAAAAAAACTCTTTTGGTGTTAATCTACTAAAGACATCAGATGGGCAGAGGAGAAAACCATCCAATTCCCTATTAATTTCCCTCGCTGTCTAATTATATGCAAATCCGCCAAGCCCAGGTTTTAATTCAGCCCTTCGCATTAAGAGATCAGAGGAAGATGCAGAACGGGAAGCGGCGGCTGACACGGCGTCGGGGGCTCTCCGGGACTCCGGCGAGATAAACGCCGCGTTTTAATTAAAATGTTTATTCCACCCGGCGTGCGATCCCGCTCGCTGCCTTCCGCGGAGAGAAAGGGCCCTAAGCCGAGATGAGCTGGAGCTCCTCGTTTTGTGTCGTTTGTATTTTCCTTCCTAGCTCCCCTGCGCCCTTTTGTGTCAGTGGGCAGATATTTTTGCTTTTGTTTTAGATGGGAAGAAAAAGGAGGAGGAAGGCGGTGGGGCTGAGTGGCTGCAAGGCTCCCGATGGAGCCCTGGGGATGCTGAGCAAACATTTGCTGCTTGAAAATGGGTCTCACTGACACCCTGAGGCTTCCTGATGGGTTTATTGCCAGCAGATATGCTGAGAAATCTCACCAAATTTCCCAGCTGTGGCAAATCCCAGCCAGGGCCAGACCCACAAGCCAAACGCCAGGGCCACAACCTCGTTTCAGCTCCAAGTCCTCCTGCAGATGCAGGTCTTGTTCCCCTACCTGTCCCGGGAGTGAGGGTGGGATCCAGGACTTCCCATGGGATCTCCTTTCCTGCATTTTGCCCAATCCTTGTGTCTTCGAGCGTTGTGGGTCTGGAGCCATGGGCTTGGAATGCCGGGTAGTGGGTGCAGCAATTGGCTCTGCTTCTCACTTAGTTTTTGCTTTGCTGGGAATTCCACCCAGAAGCGGAATGGGTGAAAGGAGGTCAAATATTGTCAGTGTCAGGGGCTCAAGCGAGGCCTTTCCATTTGTGCTGTCCCTTCTCCGAGGGGGACACAGTGATTTTGGCGCTTGCCCTCGGCCACTGTAAGAGAAATAGCTTCAGGAGGGTCTTTTGATCTTGATTTTTCCATGCTTTTTTTTTTTCTTCTTCTTTCGCGAAGAACCACCTACGTCTTTCTCTTAGCAGATAAATACTCAAGAAGTGAAACAGCTCTTCCTGTGCCCGTAAATGATGAAAAAGATCAGCTATTTCTCCTGCAGAGCTTGACTTAAAAATTACAACCATCCTCGCTTAAAAACAGAAACCAGCAGTGGTGGCAGCAGCATGGGGAGCCTCGTGCATTGCCCCGCGTCTGCTCGCGGCCCGGCTGGGATGTCCTGGGGCTTCTTGGGGCTTCTTGGAGCTTCTTAGCTTCTAGATGGGGCCGGGAATATAGATGATGGTGCCAGAGTGGGTAGAGCTTGGAAGGATCTTGCAAATAGCTGCAAAAACTTGGGAAAAGTCCTGTGTTCTCCCTGCCTGTTCTCGGAGTGAGGAGCATCCTCCTGTATCGTGACTGGCCTCGCACAGGGTAAGGGGCTGAAATAGGGCCCCGCTTGCCCATATGCGGTGTGTGATTGAAACAGGTTGGCTGTCGTGATGTGCAGGCCTTGCCCTTGCCTTGGCATTGCGGATGTTGGTGCATGTCCGTGTGGAGCAGGGTACGGATGGGGCGGCCGACCCTTCCTTGGCCCTGCGCCGTCAGGGCGCATCCCTCTTCCCCCCAAAAACAGAAATGCAAAACGCGAAGAGGCAGCGCCGC